AAAGTGTTTGGAAAAGTAGATACGTTGGAGACGTATCACCCACTCCAGGTGAATTGTATGAGCCTGGTTGTCAGCGTCACAGAGAAGAGCTACAGAGCATTTTTCAGAGGCCTGAACCCAATATGAGTCAGATGCTCAGCATGGTGAAGCCATTGTCTCAAGATGCAGAATATCCCAAGGAATTCTTTATCCAGGACCTTGAGTACCTGCCCCGCACAATCTATCATATACTGAGGCGTACTCTATGGCCAATCAAGGGACATTCTTCTGAAGCCAAACTTGAAGGCATTATGAAGACTTTGGTATTTTATATTGTCAATGGCATCAGATTCAACTCCCAGGATTTCTTCATCAGACAACTTGATGCACCTGGGATTGATCTGTTGGCCTGAAGTTTTATGCTCCATCGGTGATGCGCCTGATCAACTTCATTCTACTATCGACTATCAGCCTTCAGCATGCAACCATCTTGTCTTTCTGCCTGAGGTTGATCTGTCAGTTGAAGCCATCTACCCCGAGCCTGCCAAGGAGCTGCTATCTCTTCATATTGTTGATCATCAAAGCTTCACTCAGCCAATAGAAGGAGTTCATGTACCAAATGCTGCTATTCCTGCTTATCCTCTGGCTGGCAATGTTCGTATGCCTCATCGAGCAAATACCGAAGCCACTGCTAGTACAATTGCTCAAAGGCCTCAGAAGCATTCTGGTGTACTCAATGACCGAGAGATACTTGTGGCCTTACATAAGAAGCAGGACAAGCATCACGACTGGCTGAAGCGTCAGATGCATAGTCTCTTGGTGGATGTCAATCGCATCCGCAACCTGGCCAGCAAGAACTCATTTGTTGCCCATGAGAATGCGCGGCGGTCCTGGAAAAGCCTCACTTTGTTGTGTTCTGAAGACGATCTTCATGCAGATGGCTTCACTCAGGGCTTCAAGTTTGTTTCCAGACCTCCACAAAATGCAAGCTGGTGTCGCACTCCCTCACTTGAAGATTCTAAATATTCATCTCCGGCTGCAACTGTTGTTGCAAATGTCATCGATGAAGAAGACGACGCCACTTCACCGACCATGGCTACACTGCATCTCGACACTGCATCAGGCCCTTCTGCACCACCAAACTCCAACGTCGACCCCGATCCACCATCTGCTCCTTCTGGGAACGAGTAGATGCTCTATGTCTTCCAACCTTTTTGGTCATTACTGACAAAAGGTGGAGAAGCATGTGAGTTGATAGTCTTCAAGTGGGTCCTTATGGGTGGTTGCATTATTTTTGCCAAGTATTTACAACTCTCGTCTTTTGATACATTTGGTTCCTTGAGTTGTAACACTTAAACTTGATGGTCGTCTGCTACTTTTTCTGCTACTTTGTGATGCGATGATAAATTCCGCATGAAGTCATTCTGCAGACGTCCATTTTCCATTATGCATATCATCATCTTCATTATCTTTTTATATGCATAATGTATTGTCTTCACACTTTGAAGATGGCCTCCACAAAGCAAAACCTGCCATGTGCATTTGCATTCAAAAGCAAATTATTTATATGCACATCTTCAGGGGGAGCCTCGTCATACGTATGAAGACAATACTCACAACACTAAACTTTCACATACTTTTATCCCCGTTGAAAACTTCAACTAGTTTGTCATCAATCACCAAAAAAGGGGAGATTGTAAGTGCATCTAGTGCCACCCCTAGTTGGTTTTGGAGTATTGATGACAAACATGGTTGAGGGACTAATGTGTTTGTGAGAATTGCAGGATAACACAGGTAGTAGTCCCAGATTGATTCGGTTTACCTACCAGAGATGACCCCTAAAATGTGTGAACACATTGAAGACAATGGTGGTCTGTGAAGATATTCACATTGAAGACTATGACACGAGAAGACATCGCATGAAGACTATGGAGTGCGAAGACATAGTTGTTTCGTAGTTTCCTTTTCTTCTTTGTTGAGTCATAGGAACCACCGCACTGTTAAATGGGGTCCAAGTAAACAAAGTCAGAGTGACTGAAGTGATGCTCACCCAAATCCTATGTCTTAGAGCGAAGACAATGAGAGCAAATCTTATCTAGAGCTGGATGAGTCAGCTTTACTTGTAGCCCAAGTCAAGCTGCCGCGTGTGTTTGAAGTCTGACCATTGGACACGTGTCAGTTCCTTAGTGACCCAGGGTCATTTTGGACAAATCAGGTCGGGTTGCCTCCTGGCTATAAATATCCCACCCCCTACACCATAAATTGGTGGCTACTCAGAGTTAGTGCACGACTTTTGTCGTTTGAGAGCAACCCACCTTCGAAGCTTTCAAGAGAGTAATCCTTGCGAGGACAAAGCCCAAAACACCCAGAGCCAAAGAGTGTTAGGCATCACTGAAGTCTTCCTGTCCGCGTGATCTGAAGACTTATTACACTTGAGGATTGTGAATCCTCCAGCCGGTTAGGCGTCGCGTTCTGAGCATCCAAGAGTCATTGTGGATTGCCGGCGAACGAAGTCTATGAAGGTTTGGAAGTATCCCTTGAAGAATTACCAGAGTGATTGGGTGCGGACTAAGTGTTCTTAGCTTAAGGGGAATAAGGTGAAGACGCGGTCTTCTGAGTTGAATCTCAGCCTCCCTAACCAGACGTACAGTTGTCACAACAACTGGAACTGGTCCAACAAATCACTTGTCCTCTCCGAGCAACTAGTTCTATCCTTTCTCTCTCTTTGCTTACTGTTTGTCTTCGTGAAGTCATTGCCCATTTGTCTGATCTGATTGACTTCACTGAGTGAAGACTGTTTACTGTTTGGCTTCATACTATCTTCCATCCTGATCCATACTACCTAGCTCCTGATAGTCTTTGTGCTTTCACTACATTGCTTACTTGACTATGGCTTGTCTAGTGTAGTCTACCTTCCGCTGCATATCAATAGATTCATTTCTATTGTTTGTCTTCAAAGCACCCGTGTTTTGAAGACTTTCATAAAAATCGCCCATTCACCCCCTTCTAGTCGAATACTAGCACTTTCACATAGCAACATCAATATCAGAATATAGTGGATACTAGGGATCAAACCCTAACAAAACTAACTCGATTACATGATAAATCTCATCCAACCCATCACCGTCCAGCAAGCCTACGATGGAATTACGATGGATACTCACGCACGGCAGTGGGTATCATGAAATTGGTGATGAAGGAAGGTTCGTGATGATGATGGTGACGAATCCCCCTCTGTGGAGCCCCGAACGGACTCTAGATCAGCCCTCCATATGAAGAACAGGAAGCGGCGACGGCTCTGTATCGTAAAACGTGATGAATCCTTCTCTCTGATTTTTTTCTCCCCGAATAGGTACTTATATAGTTGGAGTTAGGGTCAAAGGAGGTCCTGGGGGCCCACAATCCTGCGAGGTGCGCCCCAGGGGGGCGCCCCCAGGGCTTGTGGCCACTGGGTGGACCCCCTCTGGTAACTTCTTGCGCCAGTATTTTTTTATATATCCCACAAAAATTCTTCGTAAATTTTCAGGTCAATCCGAGAACTTTGATTTCTGCACAAAAATAACACCATGACAATTCTGCTGAAAACAACGTCAGTTCGGGTTAGTTCCATTCAAATCATGCAAATTAGAGTCCAAAACAAGGGCAAAAGAGTTTGGAAAAGCAGATACGATGGAGACGTATCAATGGCTGAGAGCTCCATCTCTTTTTTGTATGCCAACAAGTGTGTCGGCATGACCACGACTGAGATGGTGTGGTCGAATTGCCGCCCCTTTTGTGTGCTGGTGTGCCGGCCACTGGAAAGTGTGCCATCATGAAATGTGTAGTGGTCTTTTTAAAGGCTCGCATTGTGTGCCGGCCGCTGGCAATGGCGCCGGCATGAACTTTGGGCGATGGCATGGCTGCTGGCAATGATCTATGGCTGCATGCTTTTTTAATTTATGCGTGGACACGAAATGGGTCGCGCGTGTTGGCCGCACAGCCGATCCAAAACAAAAAGAGAGGCTGATCCAAAACAAAGAGAGGGCGGACGGCGAGCGGGCGGCCGATTCAAACGGACAAAAAGCAAACAAAGCACGTGTCTTTTTTGGCCAGCACGTTGTAAGTGCATGCAAAAGATTGAATTAGCAAATTAGGGCTCCTTTGATTCAAATGAATTCTATAGGATTTTTGGAGGATTGAAATCCTTAGGAATTTTTCCTATGTTGGCCCTTTGATTCATAGGATTTTTTCCTATGGAATTTTTTGTACTACATTTTATGGGAAATCTAATATTCACTCCAACCTCTTTTTACAATTCCTTTGTTTTTCATGTGGCATCAAACACTTCTTGCTAATCCTATAAGATTCAATTTGACATGCTACCCCAATACTATACTTTTCATATTCCTACATTTTCAAAATCCCGCGACTCAAAGAGGCCCTTAGATCAAAAGGTCCCAATTTCCAAGTGCACGTACACGCGTCACTGCCTGATGCGTGGCCCACCTGTCAGCCGTTCAAATAAGCCGGGCCCGGCGAATAGCAAGGGAGCCAGGGAGGTGGTGACCGGCTCTTCGTTGCTGGGTCGGTGATGGCCTGGTGGGTACGCCGTACGCGTGAGAAACCGCGGCAGCGGGCAAGAAGCGCAACTGAAGGCAATGAAATCGCAGTTCGTACTTACTCCAAACAACGCGTCGCCATCCGCGTCCGCTTTCCGTTTCTTCCATTCCACCTCCCCCACCCAAAATAAAAGCGCCCCCACGAGGAACCTCGCGCGTTCCTCCAATCCCCTCCTCGCCGCCGCTCTCAAATTCATACCCGGACCCTCCCGCCGCAGGTATGCTCCAGTGCCTCTCCCGTGATCCGGGAGATAGTTTCCTTAGTTTTTTTTTGGGGGAATTTCTTTGCGCGATAGCAAGAAGAGAAAACTCGCACCGGTTCCTGCTCTGCGGGGGCGGGATTGATTGGCGCGGGCCGCGGGGGTCATGGAGTTCTTAGGAGATCGATCTTGCTAGTCCGTCGGATAGAGCGGTTCTTTCGCGATGAATCCTTCTGTGCAAACTCGGTGCGGTCCCTGTTTTTTTGCCCTACCACTCGCGTCTGCTCTCGATCTGGGAATGTCGGTGGAGCAAAGGTAGCGTGTTCAGTTGCTCTATGTACAAATTGATGTTCCCCGGTGATTAAGGTCCCTGCAGTTTCGCGCTCAGAATTTGTGTGGTCGGGATTCGGCCACAATCAATGCTCAAACGCAGAGTCAACGATTTGTTTTGTGTGTGGGGGATTGAACAGCCTGAGGTGCTAGTCGCGACTGGAAAAGGCATGTCTAATCGGAAGCCAACTTTTTCACAGCGTGTCGCAATTTTTTTTTTTTTTGCCAAACTAGTCTAACCTTTGGGTGCACAAATTCTTAGCCACTCTTTGGCTATCTTGCTGCACCTTGAAGTGCAGCAAAGCATGGCTGAGAACCAAACAGCCTCTAGGGTTCTGTGTGGGAGCAATAGGTAGGCAGGATCCATTGTGTCATGTGGATACAGTTGACTATGCTAGCTCCCTTCGAGCTGCCAAAATAATTCTCTTAGATTTTTAAATACATATGCCTTCACTGACTTTGGAAGAGATGGCAGATAAGTTAGTTCATTTCTCTCCTGATTGAAGAGATATTGTAATGTGCCAATGTCCATGAGACTAACCACCCAATTCTCTGCTCTATAATCATGACTCTACTAGTCTACTTATACCATGGGAGTACTTGTTCTTAGCTCAACATCCATTTGTATATTGCACACGTATCATTAGGTATTAATCATGGCAGTACTTGTTTTAAGCTCCACATCCATTTTCATATTGCATACGTATCATCAGATATTAATTATATGCTCAATCATTGGTTCAAACATGCAGATCCAAATTCAATGGAAGTGGACAAGTAGTTATACCATATATTGTTATAACATATAGATATATGGGATCCTGGGGAATATTTCATTGAGTTTGTTAAAAGTAAATGCATATCAAGCGTGCCGTATGCAAACCTGGATACATTAAAGAAAATGATTACACAAATCATTGTCCACCGATAAACAAGTTGATGTTAGCATGTACACATTTTACAGCTAACTCAGTTATTAGAGGCTTCCCTCATGTGGTCATGTTCCCCTCAATTGCTGCTTTGGTGTGTCTGTTGAATATATGGTCAATGAAATAGAGTCTGGTTTTATACAGTTCATATTTTTGTAGATTGTATTTATTTCGTATAATTCTACATTGCTAACATTATGCATAGCTGTGCCTAGAAATTACACTCTATTTTCGACTTTTTGCTGATATATTCATATTTGTTTGTCTATAACATCTGAACTTATACCAATACATATTGTTGAGCATTATTTAAAGTTCATTTTGTCCAGTTTTTTACCTGTAGATTGGGCATGACGCATATGTTTCCAAATGGAGGTGCCTCGTCCAGCTCAACCTCTATGAGCAGCCAGAGGAGCGAGACAGATGATGACAAGATGATTGCAATGGTTCTTGAAGAAGAATATGCGAAGCTAGATGGTGCTATGGCCAAGCGCCTTACGAATTTGACATCTATTCCTGTAAGATATTGCATGCCTGCTCTGCTATTTACTTCCGTTACCCTTCCCTCCCCTTGCTAGAACTGTTAAATTTGTGTTTGTCGGGCAGTCCTTTTGTTTTTCTCTGCGGTATGGTATTGGTTAAATAAAATTAACTGTGTGTGCTTGTTACCTGAAATTCCTTCCTTTGGCACATTGACAGCATGTTCCCCGGATTAATACATACTTCCCGACATATAGTGATGCCACCATGGATCATCATCGTCTTCATGACAGGTAAACTTTGATGATTCTTACATGCTTTACTCTGGTACAGTTTTCACTTCTGTTCTTGCAAAGTTGGATGATTCCATCCTTTCACAGGATTCTTTTGGTAAACATTTGGGCATATATTGAGAGTCCAGAAGTTGGTCATAGCTTTACAAGTCCATAGCAGTTGAGCCAAAGGCTAAAAGTTAAATGAAAAAGCATGTTTATTTTGCATCACATTGGGGATTCTATGTCAGATTTTTTAAAGACCCCAGGGAAAACTATGGGGCTCGGTTTGGATGTAGATATTGAAGTGCTCGGCATTGCATTGCTTTCAATGCCAAATATCTCAGGACATTGGTATTAAGCTTCAATGCCAATACTAGTGTTTGGATGTTCATATATTTGGCACTTGGAATCCAAGGGGGCAACAATTCCAGTTCTTGTTTGGATGGACAACGAATGGAATTGCACATTTATAAGAGTATGAAGAATATACTTTGTTGTACAGTTTGGAAATCAAATCTGCACATCATGCGCATAAATTTTATCAACGCTGAAATGCCCTGCCTTTTCTCAGTAAGCAAGAATATAGTCAAACAATAGTGCCCGGTGAATTCTTCCTCTCATGTACGTGCAGCACAAAGGAAGCATTCAAAGCTCAAATAATCAGGCCAGCTGACCAACAAAGCAGCTTCATACAGAACCGGGCAACACTTATCTTTTTCTAATGCAATCAAAGCTCAAATATTCGTAGCAACCACAGCGATAATTAACATCTAAGAATTAAAGGGGCAGCAGGAGAGGATGTGCAGGGATGGGCGAGGGGATGCTGCCATGGGGTGCAGGACGAGGTAGCATGCTCCATTAGAGGGGATGCAGTGGAAAACACATCTGGGTGAGAGGGACACCATGGGGAGGAGTAATCTACGCATCTGCGATGTACACATGCACAGTGGTATGTTCTGAGAGAGGCACTGCAAGGGGATGGCCGGAGGGATGAGGGCCATGGCGAATCAGAAGGAGGGGTCCTGCGGGGGAGGGATCAGATATGGAGGCCACGTCAACAACCACGGAAAGAGTAGTGGGACATCGGGGGTGGACAAAGGACACACATCTGGGTGAGAGGGACACCATGGGGAGGAGTGAGCTACGCATCTGCGATGTACACATGCACAGTGGCATGTTCTGAGAGAGGCACTGCAAGGGGATGGCCGGAGGGATGAGGACCATGGCGAATCAGAAGGAGGGGTCCTGCAGGGGAGGGATCAGATACGGAGGCCATGTCAACAACCATGGAAAGAGTAGTGGGACATCGGGGGTGGACAAAGGACTGTCGTGGAGAAGAAAGAAAGGAGGAGCACTTCCCTGCGCCGCCGTGGACCTCCGCCTGGGGTGTGTCCTCCCTCGGTCTCCTGATTCCTCCCGTGTGGTCGCCATGTTCCTTTTCTTGTACAGGATGGAGCGAAGGAGTAAGGGATAGAGGATTTGGCCAAATACAGAGCACTGGGGCTAGCGCGAGTGTTCGGTAGAAGGTTACAATATCGTGCCTGGATATCCAGGCCACCCAAAGAGCCGTCGGGTCAGGCAAATGCCAGTGCCAAATTCCGGCCTTGAATGCCAACATCCAAACGGGGTGCGGAATAACATTCTGAGTATGCATCTAAATCATATCCTATGTCCTCTCTTTGGACATTCCAACTAAATGGTTTGCCTACATATGGGAACAGTCTTTAGCCTGTCTTTACTCACGGCACCCTACAGAAATAGCTAAGCTGACCTCGAATCACCTACAACCTGTTTCGGTGAATTAATGCAATGCTAATACATGTATTATTCTCATAGTTCCTAATTAATGAGAACCTTTTGTAGGTTAAATGCATATGGCTTGTTTGAAGTGAGGGTATCAGGTGATGGCAATTGTCAGGTTTGTGATTTTTCTAAAGCAGAATTTGATTCACTGGATGAAATTATATGATCTTCTGAAGTTCTTACCTTTATGTTTATCTAAGGATACTGTTATTTTTTTCCTGTAGTTCCGTGCACTCTCAGACCAGCTATATCGATCACCTGAGTATCACAAGCATGTTCGGAAAGAGATAGTGAAGCAGGTATATCGATCACCTAGGCATATTGAAAGTACCACTTTATGTTTTTTTAACACTGGGAAGGGATCAGAAGGTCCCCGAAACTGCTGCATTTATCTGAAATGACAGTATACTACAAGGACCCTGAAAGAAAAGAAAAAATACAGACGCATCCTAAAGTACCACTTTATGTTATTGCACTCATATTGCTAAACTGCAATGTCACGCATGCATCTTAAACTTTATGGTGAATTCCCCCTTCTTATAATTTCTTTGTGTGACTGTGATGTATAAATAAGCAGATTTTCATTATTATTAGGCTATAGTTGTGTCCATATGCTGACAATTATGTTCTTAGGCTTGAAGGCTTATGTGTGCCATTTTCTTTCTTCTGCAGCTCAAGGCGTGCAACTCTTTGTATGAGGGGCATGTCCCAATGAAATATAAACACTATTGCAAGAAGATGAAAAAGTACGCACTATTGTGGGCTTTATTTTGCTTGCAGAGTACTTCAATGAAAACAGTTCATGCTTATTCTTTTGTATTTAATTATTTATGAATCTGAATCTCATCTTCTCCAGATCTGGGGAATGGGGAGACCATGTCACATTGCAAGCAGCTGCTGATAAGGTGAACTCTCTCACATTCATTGTTTCCATCATTTCTTTGCTAAACTGAAATTTAGCTAACTTCCTGCAATGGTGCAGATTTTCTGCCTTTTATATTACATTTGTGTATTATTCCTATTTTTCTCGCATTCTACTGAAGTAGGAGTACAAGCTAATATGTTCTGTTGATGGGACTACTGATGGTCTCTTAATTGTCTCATCTGATTAATACTTTATTTGTACACCACATGTGAAATTTTAACTTGTCTCACTAAAAGTTATACATCTTTGGTGAATATACTATCACAGTATCTTAATTTTGTACCCTCAGAGGGAATTATAGACCTAACTGGTTCGGTGCCAATAATTGGCATGCCAATTGTTGGCAAGTCTAAAAATTTGGCTCTTAATTGGTTGGCTACCAATTGGTTCTTGTCCACCTCTCAAAAAGTTGCCAATTTTTGGCAAGTTTTGGTTTTGCCAAATGTTGGCTTGCCAAATATTGGCAATGCCAAACTTTGGCAGCGAACCAATTAGCATCTATATCTTGACAAGCCCTGTTGAGAAAGAAGACGCCTAATGTTTCTCTTTGCTTTTGACAGTTTGCTGCGAAGATATGCCTTCTAACATCTTTCCGAGATACCTGTTTTGTTGAAATTGTTCCACAGTATCAGGCTCCACAGAGAGGTAACATTTTGGCCTCTGCCAAGGAACAAGCAAATATTGTGCATATCTACATAAAAAGGCAGTAGTCGCAAGCACAACCTTTCATCATATTACTTGCACTATAGCCTGCTTCAGTGGATTATTGCCCACATCAAATCTGTTACACACAATTTGCAAAACATAAAATATATACAGTTGAAGGCATGCCTAAGCATATCTCTGTGATTACTGCATACAACTGTTAAAGAAAAAAAGTGACTGGCTATGATGGCTGATTCCTTAAGTTACATGTTTTTCAGAGCTTTGGCTAAGTTTCTGGTCCGAAATTCACTACAACTCACTATACGATGCTCGAGGTCAGAAATAGAATGTCCTTATCTTTAATTGTAAGAACTGAATACATCAGTTTATATACTATTGTATATCCATTTCTCAAGAAAAGGAAATTACTTGTTGCTTTGTAGATCTCCCGAGCAAATACAAGCCTAGAAAGAAGCACTGGTTGTTTTAGATTCACCTGTTGCTCCAGGCTTGAATTTTATCACATGGCCTTTTCGATATTGCCGGCTGGCCACATCCTGGAGAGCGGACACCTACCTCTGATTTTCTCCACTGGAGATCTGAGTCATTGGATTGTTGGATGCCTACTTTGGTGCAGTCATATAATCAGATGTAGCTCGATACTGAAACAGAGGTTGCTTCCTTGTGCATAGATATATTTATACTAACAGATAGGTTGGTTGTATACATGTTCTTTCATTGTTACATTTTTATGCGATGCTGCTACATGTTATTCCATTCGCTTTGTTTATGGGAAAAACTCAGACTGGATTGTGCACTGTCAGTAGCTAGTAATGTGTATGAGACAGCTCCACTACGAACGTGGAGTATCTGCTTTCGAGCTCAAATGCTCCCTCATGAACAGTGAAATAAAAAATTCAAAAAATTCTGGTGGTGAACTTTGACAAATGTTCTATATGCTTGCAAAACTTCAGCACAAAATGATATTTCTGGAAGTTATGAAAAAAAAATCGGTGCTCCAAAAGTGCTCTAGTTTTGAAAATATTTTGGTGTGCTGATTTTGTTTTTTCCATGACTTTTGTGCTAAAATTTGGTATGTATACAAAACATTTGTCAAAGTTTACCACAAAAGAATTCAGTTTTTCTGCTTTTTCTATCTTTTTGATTTTACTGTTCACGGGGTATTTGAGCTCGGGGTCAAGAATAGGACTTGCGCTCCACTACACGATTCACTACTAAAGCAGGTGGAGTGTTGCAGCATTTTGTGGCCTGATATTGGGACAATGCTACACACCGATCGGCTTCCCATGAGCGCACACGTTGCATAGTGTGTGGTCACACACATCACTACAGTATCTAAGCTCCCTTGAATGTAAGGGCTGTGAGCACTCGGGTGGGTCAACTGACCATGTCGCTTGTAAGGGCTGTGAGCACTCGGGGGCTGGGAGGGTCAACTGACCATGTCGCTTGTGTTTTTTGAAGAATCATTTAGATTTAGTGGAACCACGGTCTCTTACTAAATAACTAGGTATTGTTTTTCTTGATCACAGTACAATCGAACTCGCTCACATACACGGGCATACACTCATCCCTATGAATGCACGCATGCATACCCTATCTGTAGGAGCATATTTGATAGACTGAGACGACACATCATCTTGAGATTGATGAAGTCGTCACGGACGCATTTGTAGTTGGTGGGAATGTCTCCTCACACACACTGTCGAAAGGCCTGGAATAAATCCAGAAAAATGCAAGCACCAATGTAAAGTCCGGGACTTACTTTGGTGGCAGGGAATAGCAATGTCCACCTAACCATCCAATAGTACGTATTGTTTACTGTTTGGGTCAACCATCCAACTGCCTGTGTCCAACACTTGATTTGTTATGTGTCACTTACTCCCTGAACTAAAACCAGGACATTTATTTTAGATGAGAGGGACTTTTTTTTTGCGAGAAGAAAAGGTTTACATGTCGCTCATCTACATTAAAGTGATGTGCCATCGAACAGCGGCACGGTCACCGCCCGCTTGGCCCATCACTGCCTCCTCTGTGTCACATGGCTGCATGGGCGCCGTTAGTCCACCACCACGCCGCATGCCCGCCCATCTCTCTATCTTTCTCCCCTTCTCTCATGACGGTACGCCCGAGCCATCACCGCCTCCTCCGCACCACACGGTTGCACAGGCACCCGACCCATCACCTGCTCCTCGCATCATATGGTTGCACGGTGCCGCCAGTCCATCACCGCCTCATCCGCACCACACGGTTGCACGGGCGCCCGTCCCACACCGCCTCCTACGCACCACAAGGCTGCACGGGCTTTGCCTGTCCACCACCATGCCGCACACCCCGCCTATCGCTCCCTCTTTCTTCCCTTCTTTTGTGAGGTAGTTAACGTCCGACGACGACGACGCTCGGAGCCTGGAGATGATTGTCATCTTCAAAACTTGGTCACCTTCGTCAACACGCCATGGCCCACAAGGTCTGCAGTACAACTCCCGATACCTCCTTCCTCTCCCTCTGTCATCCTTTCTTTGGTAGCCTGATTCAAATTCAATCTCGCTCGCTTCAGTGCTAAACAAGTAGCAGATTACACCGGGATTTTATCTCACCGTGTAAGGCTTCAATTTAAAATCCTCATGCTTCACTGCTTGAGTACCATCTTCGTGCGTGTGGATTAACAACCTCACGCAGTTTATACATGGCATGTTTTATGCTGCCTCTGTTCCACAATGTAGTGCATATTAGTTTTTCAAAAGTCAAAGATGTTCATTTAACCAAGTTTCTAGAATAAACTATCAATATCTGAAGTACTAAATAAATAAACTATACCGGTACATGTGGATGTTGTTTTTAAGAAAAAACTTGGTCAAACATTGGTACATTTGACTTTTTAAAACAAAGTATGTACTCTATTTTAGAATAGAGGGAGTATTAATTAGCATACCGTTCCGCGTCTAAGGAGCATGGTCTCTGGGTCACTTATGTACACAGCTGATGGTAACTAGGTTTTTCTATCAAGATAATTCAGTTAATTGTCACTGGGTCACTTATGTAAACAGCTGATCAGGCCTTAATAATGCAATAATAATATCACATTCAAATGAAAACTAAGATCAATCACTTATACTATTATCTCTCTATCCTCCCATTTCCATCTCTTCCTCTTAGAAGCCGCTATAAACATGCTTCATTCCCTTTCCCGTCGTTAGTATGTGCAAACCATTACTTTTATTTCAAATATGTTCTTTCTATTTTGATTCTAACTACGCATATGAACGATCAATATTGAAAATCAGAAGCCATATACTGTGGTGCAGTGTTGTAACTTCCAAGTATTTCTCACTTCCACTTCCCTTTTACCATTATTGCAGACCATTGTTGTTGGTGTTTTGTATTATTTGTCTGTGATCAAGGTAAGTTATGTAATATTGGTTGGTCAAATCATAGAGTTGTATGATTGTTGTACATGAATACTACAATCATAAGCCTCGGTTATGCATATCATAGTTTTGAATTAGTTTTGCAGATTTACATTATCATGTCCATCTAGTACTATGGTTTAACCCTACAGGTCCGTGACATGTTTGACGCCAACCAAGTAAATGATGACGTGTCTTAGCATCTAGACATGTCTTGCAATGCAATAAAGAGTGTTCTGACCCCAAAAGAAAGCCAAAACACACAAGGCCCAAGAAATAAACAACAACCCCCAACCCGCAAATAGAGCAGCACGAAATCTATGTGAATTAACAATGAAACAAATAAATGGTAGAAAAGTAGAACAGCGCAGCAAGGCGCGCGTATGATTCTAGTTATATATCATACCTAGTAGAATATAGATATTCTATGAGATCACGACTCCATATACTATCCAGACACCACACGACTCTTAGTCCAATTATAATCTTCTACTACTATAGTACAAGAAATTTTGAACTTGTTTCAGCCACCCGTCATGACGTAGAGGCAATTATCAACCGTTGATTTTTTCGACGGACTGAATCGCTACCGTTTATCACAGCAAACTCAGTTGATCCAACGGATGTAGTCTTCGGGATTCGCTTATGCAGTCGCGCGCCAAAACGAGGCCGGCGGGTTTTTTCTAGAGTCATCGAGGCACTGCAGAGCTGCACCTGCAGTTGCACACCTTGCAGCGTCACGTGATGCTGATGAGAAAAGTTCTCACAGAATCAAAGATCTTCTGTGGCTGGTTTTTGAACTATCCATGGTACAAGGAAAGAGATGTTATTTGCAGTTTGACCAAGACACCACGTGCTTAGCACGTGCCATATACTAGTATATATTGTACATAATATTCTACACAACTCTAACAAACTTCACCTTGCGAAACTTTTTACCATCTTAAATCGTTTGTGTTAAAGTTTCATGTGCATTGGATGAGTTTACACTTTGAGTAGTGTTGCTACTCCTAGACTTCATGTGACTCCACATGCTACTGTAGTCCTTTATTTTCTTATCATAATCAACACTTAAGCAAAATTAAGTTTATCTTTACTCTCCCAACTTCCGGAATATTCGTTCAACGTCATCACACACTTTTGCGTGATAGTGATTTTTTTTTACTATAAGAGTGACCGGTACAGTATAATTGGTGTAACAAACCCAAATTACAAGTACCATGTCTTGAACATGAGTTGTTGGGAAGGCATCCTCCCCTTTCCACCACTAGGCTGTGCCATAGTCTACATCACACATAAGAGTTATCTGAACTCAAGATCATTGCTCTTCTTACTGTTTGCCTGAAACTTGAAGAAATTTCACTTTTGCTTGTATTCATCCTGATATCATTGAAGTTCGATAAAACTATCAGAGATCCAAAGTGTTCAAAGTTGCCAACAAACTTTGAGCTCCTATTTTTGTATCGAGCTTTGATACGTCCATTTTGAATCATGTTTTCTTATCGATATTTATTGCATTATGGACTATTATTTCACTTTATAATACAATTCTTATGCCTTCTCTCTCTTATTTTGCAAGTTTCACATGAAGAGGGAGATTGCCGGAAGTTGGAATTCTGGATCAGAAGGGCCTATATCAGAGACACCTATTCCGCACAACTCCAAATGACCTTAAATTGACGGAGAATTATTTTAGAATATATAAAAATTATTGGTGAAAGAAACAACAGTAGGGGACCCACGAGGCAACCACAAGCCTGGGGGGCACGCCCTACCCCCATGGCGTGCCCCTGGACTTGTGGGGCCCCTGGCAGACCTCAGAAGCCCATCTTCTGCTATATGATGCCATTTGACGTAGAAAAAAAATCAGAAGGAAGGTTTTGGGATGAAGCACAGCCGTCTCGAGGAGGAACCTGGGCAGGAGCATTTTTGCTCTCCGATGGAGCGATTCCACCGGGGAAACTTCCCTCTGGGAGGGGGAAATTGAAGGCATGTCATCACCAACAATCCACCCATCGTGGGAGGACCAATCTTCATCAACATCTTCACCAACACCATCTCATCT